GCAACTTTTTTACAAAAACTAACTTTTTCAACTTAATTTTTGAAAATGTTCCGGAAATACTGCGTCCTTTAAACATATATCAAATTAAAGCTTATTTTATGTACTATAAAATGAATAAAAAAAATGTAATGTTTGCGATAAAAATCACCTTCTATCGGAATGTTTTTTGTACTTAAAACTTCCATAACTTTTTCAAATATTAACAAATCAAAATAATATTTTATTATATTAAAACCTTAGATATTTCCCTTTCATTTTATATCATTTTTTTTTGAAAATCTAACACTTATTCTGCTCACAGGGGGGATTTAAAATAGGAACTTTTTTACAAAATCTAACTTTTTTAACTTGACTTTTGAAAATGTTCCGGAAATACTGCGTCCTTTAAATATATATCAAATTAAAGCTTATGTCATGTACTATAGAATTAAAAAAAAAATTTGTCCTGACGACCTATTTTCAATGCGCAAATGCCTACAGTATTCAAAAATATGCAATTTTTTTTTTAATTCTGGGTTTTGTATTTTATTTTAAAATATCTTATTAGGGGAATACAGTGACTTTCATGAATATTATATAATTTAATTGATATAGAATAAAGTTCATAAGACATACAAAATTAAACTTATTAAAATTTTTTTACTTTTTTAAAGTCGAAAAAGTAATTTTTTAATTTGAGTTAGCTTAAATAGCCAATTTTATCATGCGACAAAAGCATCGAACAGTTGCCTAATGGGTAACATCTGTGTCTTTCACTCTTAGGGTACGAGATTCAAATCCGACTGTGGCTTTTAATATTTTGCATTTTTTTTTGAGTTAGAATAAAATTTTCAAATCATTTGATATTTATCTCATTTAGATTCAATAACTTCAATAAATATAAAGGATCTTATCACTATAGTCTTCCCTCGTGAGAAGAAATTTATATTCATGTAAATATTATTTTACTATGTGGTTCTTTTTGTGGCTACGATTTATTTTGCCAACCCTCACTAGACCTACTTTTTTCAACGATATGTCAAATGATTAATTTAAGTTTATGATATTTAAGTTAATGATTAGTTTAAGTTATTACTCTTAAAAATCGAAAAAATATTCCTTATTCAAATAAAAAGTAGCTTAACCAGCTTTTTCCATACAAACAATTAAAATCATTAATTTTTAATATTCTTAAAGTATTTATTGTAGAATTAGATTTGATATGGTAAAAGTATTCAAAAGATACAAAAGTAAATAATTTTACATTGTAATTTATTAATTTTTTAACTCTATTTGTGTGTGCTACTACCAGTTTATAATATTCCGAATTTGTTTGTTGCTATATAAATCATAAATTTAAAAAAAAAAATGATTTTTAGTTTCACCTGAATTTAACGATGGATTTTTACAATTATAATCAAATTTTATAATACGCTCAATTGAGGCCATACAAATACAGGTAGCTAATTGATTTTTTATGACATCGATATTAGCAGGTACACAGCATTGTTATTATCAATGATAGTAAGGTACATTGTTGTGAATTTATAAATACACTAACTGATAATACAAAAAGTATATCTATTGATAGTTATTATTGATAATAAACAATCCGTGACTGTGACAGCAATGCCATAAAAAACCAATTAGCTACCTATATTTGTAATCCCTTGTATATTATACCTGTATATTTACTCCAAAACTTTAAATGATTATATCTAATAAACGAATTAAGTTATATTAAAAATTCAAATGCCATTTACTATTAAATTAGAAACTCAAACATTTTATTAAATTAAAAATATGTGTTACCATTTAAAAAAACAAAGTTGACCCCCTTACAAGGCATAAGGGATGAACTTAAAAAGTATTACATAGTTAAAAATTCAAGAATACTGTGTAACTAAAGATAATAATAAAAAAAAATGTTTAAATTATTATTATTCTATAAGTAATTGAGTGGGTTATGATAAAAAAATCACTCTGTATATAATTCATTGGTCCAACGATAGAATATGTGATGGGACGTTATCACAACAATTGGTGACACGCCAAGTAGTTGGTCTTCGACAGTATGACATTGAAGAAACAATCAAAAACCTCAATGTAAGGCAATTATCACCTATCACTCGTAGATAGTGGGATCAAGTTTGGCACAATAAGGCATCAAGCATGTTGCAATTAGAATTCCAGTATGACGTATAAGTCTTACAACAGGTCAATTTTTGTAACTTTTTTTTTATTTATAATTGTGTTCTCTTCATCTATACATAAAACTTGTCAAACTAATACAAAGTCAAACGTTATTATATTTCAATAATAAATTATTTATTTAATATAATAAAATGTAATTAAGAGTCATAATTTAGGTAAGAAGTAATAATAGTAGATAATAGTAGTGTTTTAATATATAATTTTTTAAATAATAAATTTGAAACAAGTATATTTATAGAAAAATCTATTAGTTTATCAATTCAAAATAAAATGTATATTTTATGTTTTTGTTGTAGAGTAACTTACAACTTTGTTATTTATTAATAGCAGCATATACTCGTTTGAATGATTGCGGAGGCAAGTTCAAAATCTAAAATTAAAATTAAAAATTAGTTAAATATAATAAAATTATTAAAATATAACATTAATTGTAGCACTAATAGTTAATGTTTTTTTAAATAATATTTGAAATAGAATAGTTAGAATTTCTTGATACGTAATATTAATTGAAAATAATTTCTGATAAAAATTACCATAGAAATCTATTNGTTCTAACGTATAACTCTGATAAAAATTACCATAGAAATCTATTAGTAATAAATAAATAAAATTAAAAAAAAAAACAGCACAGTGGGGATATTGGGTTAAGTATAGATTTAATGTGACAGTGATTAAAATCACTATCATAAGAAACGCTTCGATGCAAATCTGAAGATAATGTCTAATTTTAAAAATTGGTGGATAATTACAAAAGCAACACAACTATTTTCCTAATTATATTCAGATTAGTAATTCTTAGATTCAAAAATATAATATAAAATTATATATTATATAATTGTTATATTGAATTGTTTTTAAATTATTATTGACTTTTAATATGTTAAAAGTAATAATTTTTAATCTACTTTTTTTTGTCCTTTAAAGTGAAAGTTTATAATAATTAATTTATTACCATAACTTTTAGCTTAATTTGCAAGTTTGAAATTGTAATCATTAAATAGAAAAAAAATGGTATTTTTAAGATTAATATGCATTCAGGAAATTTTATAATTACTATTTATTGTTAAATTTATCAGAAAAGTTCGATTTTAATTTCTTTTACATTTTTATCATAATAGATCACTTAAATAAAAATCATAAAAATAATTTCTAATTAACTTTTGGTGTTTAAAAGAATTCTACAATTGAAATATTCAAAACTTAATTAATTTTAATGATTTACTTTAACTAAAAGAACCAATAAAAAAAAGTTGTTAAAAAGATTTACTCAATTAAACGTATTATTAAATTTGATCGTAAAAATCCATCGTTAAATTCAGGTGAAATTAAAATCATTTTTTTTTTTTAAGTTATGATTTATATAGCAACATGTTACAAAAAAATTTGGAATATTATAGACTGGTAGTAGCACACACAAATAGAGTTAAAATATTAATAAATTACAAAGTAAAATTATATAATATTAAATCTAATTCGACTATATACTTTAAAAATATTATAAATTAATGATATTAATTGTTTGTATGGATAAAGCTAGATAAGCTACTTGTTATTTGATTAAGGGATTTTTTTCAATTTTTGAGGGTAATATTTTCAACTAAATACGAATTGTAATCATTTAAATTAAAATGTAATCATTTGAAGTATCGTTGAAAAAAGTAGGTTAAGTGAGAGTTGAAAAAATAAATGGCGGCCTCAAAAAAATAATATTAAGTAAATATTAAAGTAAAATAATATTAACACGAATAAAAAAATTCTTCTCACAAGGGGAGACTATAGTCATGGGATCCTTGATATTTATTGAAGTTATTGAATCTTAATAAGATAAAAATCAAATGATTTGAAAATTTTTTTCTAACTCAAAAAATATTAATTGCCACAGGCGGATGCGAACATCGTACTTTAAAAATGAAAGACACAAGTGTTGATTTTCGAACATCAACATTAAATACCAAAGAGAAAAGGATGTATTTCACATTTATGTATGTTAAAAAACATTAACTACACAACATAGACTGTGCGATAAAAGAATTCCAATGAGGCTGAAAGGTAAATTCTACAAGACTGTAATAAGGCCAGCTATGGTCTATGGTTCAGAGTGTTGAGCAGTTGATAAGAAAGCAGAACAGAGAATGAGTGTAGCAGAGATGAGAATGCTTAGATGAATGAGTGGAGTGACTAGAAAATATAGAATAAAGAACAAGAGATTTTAGCCAAACAATTATTTATGCTGTCATTTAAAACAAACATAATTTTGTTAAAAGAAAATGTAAGAATAGTTATAGAAATGAATGTTAAAGGATAGTGATCCCAAGTAGTTGGAATTAGGGCGAGGAAAAAAAAGATGATGTATGTTAAAAAACATTAGACTTAATATCTTTTAATTTTCCTTTATGATTAAGTATGTAGACAATTTTTTTTAATTTACATTTAATTATTAACTTTCATTTGGAAGTAAAAAAAATTATTAAATAAGAAATATTTTTTTTTATCTAAGGCAATCAATTAAAAAAGCCCACTTACTTCACCAACATGTTGCAATAAAATATTTTGATTAAATTCTAATAGTGATCTAGTTCCTAGGGAAAACCAGTTACTCATTTTTTCCGGATCAAGTGTAATTGTAGTTTCATCAGTGGCATTATACTGTAAATACTGATCTTTCACAAAATCCTTCAAAATACAATAAAATAAATATAAAAATTTATTTTAATTTCTTTTTTATAACGATAGAATTTTAACTAAATACTACTTTTAATTCGAAATTGTTGAGGACATTTGAACAATTTATTTATAAAAAAATAAGAATCTAAAAACATTCTATTTTCCTATTTTTATCAATTTAAATAAATAAATTATTCAATTTTTATAAATTGATATCAAATAATTTAGTATTGTCAATTTTACGGAGAAATCATAAAAAGATAAAAAATTATTGTACACGGCGTCATTTTTATCATATTGATCAATCGATTTCTCTTAAATATAAATATTAGGAAATTCTTTTTTGTAATTTTAAACTTTATATATTTTTTCATTTATTATTTAGTCATCCTGTTTATCTGAATTCGGCATTTCATCTACCCATACAAGTGTTTATGATCCGCAGTCCAATTCGTCTGAGAGAGTAATGCGTAAATTGGTAAGTTTATTCAGGGCATATTGTTACCAACACCATACGAAATGATTTCATTATTTGGTTTATAGTGATAATATTGTCCGTAAAGCGGCCCTCACACGATCAATATTACTGACAGTATAATTATTGACAGTATTTGACATTACTGTCAGTGTACTCCTCAAACGGTCAGTATAAATTAGTGTCAATACATCAGTACTGATCTGTATTTACATTGTTCGGGTGTTCGTTTGGTCAATTTTATTAAAATGGACGAAAATCGTCGTAAAGCGTGCATAGCAATTATTTTAGCGTTTTCTATTCCAAGTAAACGGATAACTAATAAATAGGAAGCGATGGGTAAAAGAATGGATTAGCAAACGTAAGAAGTATTGTCATTTAAATCTGTTAAAAGAAATCCAGCTTTCCGACCCAAAAGACTACCAGAATTATTTTCGAATGAACAGTAACATCTATAATAAATTATTAAGCATGGTAGAACCACTTATTATTAAGAAAAATACTAATATGAGGGAAAGTATTCCTCCAAATCAAAGACTGGCTCTTACTTTGAGATAAAAACGCCAGTTCTTCAAATAACCAACTCGAAGGTTGATAAATGTCGTCAGCTCCAGCGCCACTTCTTTTAGATTCATGAATTTTTTTTAATTCTTTACGGAAATTACTTCGTAAAGTATTAATTTTCTTTTTTACATCATCTATAGAAGCATCAGGCTTAATTAACTTATAAACAACTAATAATTCACTATAAGCATCTTTTTTTTTGTCTCTATTACTATAGTCTTTGCAACGAATATCCCATAAACATTTTAAATCTTTATACTTGGAAACAAAATCACGTAATTGTTGTTCACGGCATTCGCGCGCGTTTGGAAATTCATCACGTGTGTCATCCATTGCTGCGATGTCAATACTGACGAAATGTCAATATCGACCTCACACTATCAATATAATCATCAGTAACCAAATACTGACGACTCGATATCCGAATTTTTCATCAGTCATCAGTATCGTTTTATCATACTGACAGTACATCAATACTCACATCACACGATCAATAATACTGTCATTATCCAAAATACTGTCAGTAATATTGATCGTGTGAGGGCCGCTTAAGTCATAAATGTCAACTGTATTCACACCATCAAGTTTATTCAACGGTCAAGAAGAGAAACCTATTGTAACCATTTTGATTTAATTTCCTCAGTTTTGACAATGCCTCAAGAGCGAAAACTTATTATAGTTCGCGAAGTTCAATGTTTGAAAGCTGAACATCGTAAGCATCGATATAATCGCAAATCTATCAATATTGACGGTCAAGTTCTTGTGCGAACTCACAAACTAAGTTCTGGAATTAAGAAACTAATTGGAAAATTTTGTTTGCTGCATAATTGTCCCTATTTGGTTTCTGAAGTGAAACAGAATAATTCTTATATTGAAATTTATCCGTTGTCTGAACGTATCAAATACACGTTAAATGTTATTTTTCTTAAACGATACCGTCATCGAGTGAAGTGGAAGCTGTTTTATTCATTTTTGCGTCACCAAACGTTCCATTAAAACGAACTAAAATTTTAGAATTAACCTTATTAACTTAAAATTTTTATGGTGTAAAAAGCCGATATATATCTAAAAAATTTTAAAAAAAATTTTGAAATTAGGTCATCCAGCAGAAATATTGCACCTAGAATACATGTATTTTCATAAAATTTCTAACTTTGTAAGCCTCTAAATCCCAAGATAATTGTTCTAAATATTTGAAATTTAGTTGAAACATAGATTACACACTATACAATACCACATGTAAAAATCACAATAAAATAATAACTTCTTAATGGTTTTAAGTGAGCTCAAAAGCGCCAATTTTCTATGTATTACTGATTAAACTATTTGTTTAATTTTTTATTTAAAATAAATTTGTATTGTTAATAAAAGTATAAACTTAAGAACTATCACAGTGTTTTATTATTACTTATATATCAAAGGTTATTTTAAATACTATTTTATAAAGCTTATTTTAGATTTTTCCAGGGTTCAAAAGTGCTATCTAGTTGATTGTTCTATTAACTATCAGCATATAAATGGATTTATATTTAAAAAAATAAAAAATCGATTTATTTTGACCAAATTTATAACTGACCGATATTTTCATTTAAATTTAAATCGTTTCACTTTTGAAAATCGCCCATCACTAGTTTACGTACAGTCATATAGCAGCCGGTGATGAAGGTGCTAACTTGGAACTGATTCATAGGAAGTTACATAGACCTTAAGAATAAACAGTATAGTCCACTGTCACAACAATATTGACCACAGGACCGGTTGACTTGTGAATAATTTATCTTATAATTGGGAACATACTAAACACCTACTACACGTATGACGAACTGATATCTTGATAGTTAATTTAAAGTGTATTTTTGTAACATAAGACGTTATTGTTCTAACGTATAACAATTAAAAAAAAAATGCAAAATATTGACTGAACCAAAAATTATTATTTATCAGTACATATGGAATCACTCTGTATATAATTTTTTATAATTGAATAATTATATATTTCTTACCCCTTTTATCATTTTTTTAATATAGTTAATGTCTAAATTTAAGGCAACCGCAAAACGCTCTACAATGTTCCACATTTGTCCTATAAAAATTAAATTATTATTTTTAATATGAATTTAAATAATCAATTTTAGAAATTAACAATAACTAAAATTCAATAAATTGAAGGTTTACCACACAAAAAAGGAAGTGCACTTATAAAAATTTTTCAGGATCTCCATTTAAAAATTATTACCACTATAAATAGCATTGTAAATTTTGAATTTTGAATTATTACTAAATGATGAAATATTAAAATTTAATAGTTTTTCTTCTTGTAAAAAAAAAAATCCTGCTTCATTCCTACAAATTAGGAATAATGTAGGCAAATTATTTGTCTAAAAATTATTTATGCAAAAATTCCTCTGATTTTATGCGTTAGACCATCAATATCTTACTTATATATAAAAACTAAAAAGATATATAAGGAAAGAAAGAACAGCAAACATTTTTTTTATATATATGACAGATCTAATTAGGCAAGAATAAGTTTTCTAAGGGCAAAGCAGAATAGCTGAAAATAAAGAACAGCATTTAAATATAATTAATCTCTTTTATTTAGTACTTTACTCAGATGCAGAAATTTAAATCTATTAAATAGATTTGGAGAAAGCGTATGGTAGAGTACTGAGAGAGGTTTTAAAGTGGGCATTAATGAGAAAAAGATTTCCGAAAAAGTACATTAATATAATAGAAGATATGTATGATGGCATTTGTACTAGGGTAAAAAGTGTAGGAGGAGTATCAGAAGGTTTTCGGGCAAGAGTAGGAGTGCACCAAGGTTCAGCTTTAAGCCCTTACTTATTCTCTATAGTGATGAATGAAATTACTAGAAAAATACAAGGAGAAATGCCATGGTGCATGTTGTTTGCTAACGATATAGTGTTAATAGGAGAAAATTGGGAGGAAATTAATCAATGGCTAAAGGTGTGGAGATCAGCTCTTGAAGAAAAGGGTTTAAGAATAAGTTGAAGTAAGACAGAGTATACAGAGTTCGAGTTTGACAAAGGAGAACACGAGGTAGGTGAAATGAGGAGGTCTTTGATAATAGGCGAGCACGTGATTGGAGAGGTGGAGAGTTTTAAGTATTTAGGGTCAGTTGTGCAAAAGAGTGGTCATATTGACGAGGATGTAAGACACAGAATTAAGTGGGGGTGGTTTGAAGTGGATAGAGACGTCTGGCGTCTTATGCGATAAAAGAATTCCAATGAGGCTGAAAGGTAAATTCTACAAGACTGTAATAAGGCCAGCTATGGTCTATGGTTCAGAGTGTTGGGCAGTTGATAAGAAAGCAGAACAGAGAATGAGCGTAGCAGAGATGAGAATGCTTAGATGAATGAGTGGAGTGACTAGAAAAGATAGAATAAAGAACAAGAGATTTTAGCCAAACAATTAATTTTAAATGGAATAAACTTTTTTTAAACTACTTAAGTTAAAAAAAAATTTAACTTGGCTGGTTAAATTTATAATACGTTGCAATGGACATGAGGACTGAAAAGGTTAATTATTTATGCTGTCATTTAAAACAAACAAAATTAACATCCTTATAAGGTATATATAATGAATTAAAAATATACTTAATAATTAATAAATCAAGAAATCATGAAACTAAAAAATATCAAAAATTATTTTCTTAATATAATTATTATTTCAAGAGATATCAATTGGCTAAAAGTTGTTAAAGGTTGCTAATAAAAAATTCATCCTGTATTTTGTTATTTTAATTTATCATAAACCATTAATAGCTAGAACATTTTTTTGGAAAGAGTACCCCCTACCTTTTAATATAAATATTGAATATTAAGAGTTGCAAAAATTCTTATCATGAATTTAAGTATCAGAATAACAACATGATAAATAGTGATTTTAGACACAAAAATTATAATTTTTAGTTAATTTCAGCAACCATTTGCACATACACTATAAAGTGTTGGAATAAATTTCAATTTTAACTTATAGATGTAACATAAGCTTTAATTAAACATATATTTAAAGCTGGGAGTATTTCTGAAAAATTTTCAAAAATAAGTTAAAGAAATTAATTTATTATGTAAAAGTTACTATTTTGAATCGCCCCAGAGTGTAGTCAGGTTAATGGTTAGATTTTCAATAGATAAAAAATTATATCTAATGAAAAAAATTATTTAATGTATTTAAGAAAAATAATTACTTTGTTCATCCATTTTTAAAAAAATTATGAAAAATGTAAACAAAAAAACCCAGCACAAGGAGGTCGCGCTACAGTGGTGACATGGCATAGTTGGATCAAGTATAATGATATCTGACATTGATTAAAATCACTATCAAAAAAACGCTTTGATACAAATCTTTAGATAGTGTTTAATTTTAAAAAATTGGTGGATTATGCCAAAAGCTACATGATCTCCTATATTCTTATTAATATCCTGATTAAGATAAAGTATGTCAAATAAAAAAGGGATATAAATATTATTTCCCATAAAAAAATTATGTTGATCCATACACTTTTCAATAAGTTATAGCATTATAAAGTTAAAAATGTAAAAAAAGTTTAGCAGTCGCGGGACTGACCATTAGAAGCTATGCTTATGTAACTGTTTAGAAAAAAAGAAAACAGTATAAATAATGAACAGAAAATAAATAATTTTTGGAACATTAAGATAATATTAAATGACAAAAACACAATTATAAGAATAGAAACAAAAAATGTTTTTTTTATTTTTTTATTTATTTTTATAGATAAAATGACTTTTTGTAATTTTGTAATTATATATATACATAAATCTAATCAGGTAGTACAATCGAAGAAATTATACATATCGCCATATGCCTATAATTTGCATATTAACGTAGGCAAGAGTGATAATGCGAAACGCGCAATAACTACATCAACAGTAGCCCACGTGTGCGGGCGAGGGGGGAGGTCCAATGTCGACGGTCCCCCTCGCCCGCCATACCTAAGCGTCGCAAAACGTTATTTTTTTTCGGACCTAGTCTGCAGAGCCAGCCATAAGAGGCTTAGCTTCAAAAATAAAATCGATAATTTTCACACAAAAATTGTATTTGGTAGCCATTTTTATTGTGAAGACAAAATAAAGTCCAAAATTCTTTTTTTCCATAATAAAGTACATTACATTAGCTTTAATTTAAGATATATATAAAAGTGTCAGACTTTCCGCAACACATTCAAAATTTAAGTTGAAAAGGTAAATTATTTGTGAAAAAGTTGACATTTTGAATCCACCCTGTGGACAGGTAAATGGTCAAATTTATAAAAAAAATATGGAAGTACCTTACGTATCTAAAAAAAAATTAAATTTATTTGTTCATTTTTAGGAAAGTTATGGCAGTTTTAAGTAAAACAAATTGAAAAAATGTCGAAAATTAGTGATTTTAAAATTTGTAATTTTTTTGGAGGTTTCCCCCATTTACGGAGAACGAGGGAAATTTTTTCAATTTTTGACGATAATGTCTTTGACTAGAAACAATTTGTGATCTTTTGACAAATCGTTGAAAGAAATTGGTTCAGTAAAAGCTAAGAAAAAGTGGTAACAGACACAAAAAAAAAAAACACATTATAGTAAAACTAATACCTTTTGAGCTTCGAATCGAAGCTAAAATAGATCTATGATCTATGCACTTTACGATAGTTGTTGAAAACTAATTTCACAAATTCAAATTAGCTAATTTCATTGTTATTAATTTATCGATTGTCTCTTTTGTTTTACTGAAACGGATTTTAATTTTATTTCGTATAATTCTTGAGACTGTATTATCAAAACTATATATTTTAATGTAATTATAAGACTAAATACTTTCTTTTTAAATTTTTAAAAATATATTAATAGAAGGATGCGCCATAAAAATTGTTTATTAAAATGTGAATGAAATACTTCACAATTAGCAATGCACTGCTAAATAAGTCATTCAATAAAATACATGACTGCTTAACGTCATAATTAAAGACTGCAATGACTCAAAAAATATTGATTTTGAGTTTTCGTAACTAGATTGTGTTTATTATTCTACACTTTATAAATCCAATATAGCCAAGTTACTATCCAAAAGAGGACATTTTTAAGATTGAATTTTACATTGAAAGTAACCTGAAAAATCTTTTTCAAATCTTATACTAGAAAGTTCAATTTTTGAGTTGTTACATTTTTGAACTGGAATGTTAATATTGTTATAGATCAGTATATGATCTTGCTTACATGTTGATGAATTTATTAATAGTATTTAGATTAAAGTTATAGAAACCCACCTTCACTGATTGGGGCATGTTGCATAACCAAACATGTAACAATTGGTTTCAATAAAATACGATACTTCATTGAATATGGATTATTTTGATTGATGCATATTACATTTTCTATATCATTGGTAATAATAAATTGCTTATAGTCATCTTTAATATACGAAATAGATAATCCAAACACCTATAATCATAAATATTCAATTGTTATATTATTGTTCAATAGTCAAATTAGTGTTGTAGATAAATAGGGTTCAAGAGGGTGCTTATTCTCCAACTATTGAAATTAATTCTTAAACATTCTTTAAAATTATAAATTTACTTACAAAAAATTATTTGAAGTAGAAAAAACTAAATTTAGTACCTCACAAAAAAATAATTTTTTTTAAAACCTTTAAAAATATTAGTGCGATTTCAATTTTTCAAAAATTCTTTTAATGGCTTATACTACTCAGCAGTTGATGTTTTATCTATGTCAAATCGACCTATCTCTGTAAAGTAGTTTTATTATTACATAATAAGTACTAAAAAAACAAACATTGATAACTTTTCAAAAAATTATGAAATTTGAATAAATTTTAATGCTCATTTCCCATAGTTGTATTATTTATAATAACTTTATTTTTTGTTGCATTCTGGTAGCATTAAAGCAAATAGGCTTGTTGTAGCCTAATTAGCCTATATTATATTCTCAATTATTGAATTATTTCTTTAAATGTTTAAAAATACTATGAACAATAATTTTACTATACAGTAATATAAAATTTATAATGAATTGCATTAGAAGAAATTCAATTTTTCCAATTTATTATAAAAATATAAATTTTTCATTTCTATAAGAGATGAAAATTAATAGTCATAAAATGTTACATTTCTTAATGTAGCAGCTACGTCTTCAATTGCTCTCTCATAATTTTTCAAACTAATACGTCCTTTTAATATTGTTTTTATTAATTCCTCTTTCTTAATGAAATTTTTGGACTTCAAATGCTTTATGATGAGATATTGAACACATTGAACTGTAACACTTTTACCAGGATTTCTAAAAATAAATAAAAAACAAAATTAGTATGTCACAAAAAATTAATTGATTTAATTGGATGAAATTTTTGTGAGAAATCAACTTTTTCTTCTAAGGTATTTATTTTATTGAAAAATTTTTACTGGGATTAATGTTATTAAATTTGTTTTAATAATTTAGTTAAAATAAATCCTAACATCACAAAGAAAACAGAAGATACACATATTTTTAAACAAAATAAACATATTTGTTGATTTTTTTAATGTATTAATTTTTAAATAATTATTTAACATGTTATTAATTATAATATTTTTTGATCCAATTTAATTTATTTTTTTAATATAAATTTAGTTATTAATTTAAAGTGATATAAATTTGAAGTCGTATTTATTACCATGTAAAAATATTTTGTAATTTTAATGTCTTTAAAAATTATTATCTTGAATTGACTATATTTTCATGAGAATCTACAATTTAATGAACCTTTAATATTTCTTTATTTCATTAGAATCTTTCAATTAAAAGAAAAATAATCATTTTTTAAATCACAAAATTTTGTTATACTTATTTGACTTTATTATTTATTATTATTTACTGAAAAATTAATGGATCTCTACAATTTTTTTATATAAATATACTTCAGGCATGCTTCTTTTATTATAAGCTTTTTTTTAAAATATGACCATTTACCCGTATACAGGGGGTTCAAAATTTGAAACATGCATAAAAAAGTAGAACTTTTTCAAATTAATTTTCAAAAATATTTTGGGAACCTGAGCCTTAAATATATGAAGTGTTCCAAAAATTAGTATACAGGTCAATTATTAATAATGAGAACAATAGAAACTTCATTCCTTATTTACTGAACATCTATAGATTAAATGCTAGTTCATATAATTTACAAGAAAAAAAAAAGTATTAACGATCTGTCACCTGTCTAAATGTGAAAAATACTACCCCATCTGATCCAAATCTTTTTTTTAGAAGTTTAAATCAAACCTAAATATGTATATAAAATTTTAGGCCTGATCCAAATAATAAAAAAATTAATCAAACAGATATAACCAAAATGAATTCTTAGTGTAATACAATCCAATAATTTTTTTTCAGGTACGGTTATTGTGATCTAAAGTCTTAAGTAAAATATTAGACTTGATCTATGAATATCAAATTCTTTGATAAGAATATCAAAGAGAAAATTAAAGGGTCTCTTCACTTCTAAACAAAATGTTTTGGCTAATAATGGTAAAATTCTTTTTTATGAAAAAGAATGCTAAAAAACTTCATATTACAAATACTCTATAAGAACTTACTCAAATTCAGTTTCTTTATCTTCCAGCATAATTAAAATATTTTTATATTTTAATGGTCTTAACCTTTTATAAACCAAAATATCAAACAAGATTTTGACCAACGATTCAACATAAAATAATTTAAGTCGGTATTTGATATATTAAATTTATTTAATATAACGGTTTACATTTGAAAAATTCTATACCGGACATATTGCAGAACGTTCTGTAATTTGCATTTAACCAAAGATTAAATAATATGTGAAAATTACTGTGATTATACCACGATTTTAATCAATTATGATTAACCGCCATTCTCTCACAACTAGTGGTGGGAATTTTCATTCCTTGCGGTCCTTTAAGTAACTTGTTATCAATCTTGATAATTGTTAAAAACTGTTATTGTTACTTTCAAAATAATTTTTTTTTTTTATGTTATCTTTGTATAAAATAACAGCGGTATAACTGTTTTATATGATAAAAAACTGTTAATAAAATAAAATAAATATTAGTCTATAAATGACTAACATTAAATATTTATAAACAATTTAAATGTAATTACTCAAAATTACTCATGAAATATAAATATACACATTTTTTTATACCGATTATCAAACACAAACAGATATAGGAATTTTTCTACCATTTTGTTAAAATTCAATTTCCAAAGAATCATTATTTAGGACAAACCTTAAATAAAACTAGGCGTGAAAAACGTCGTATATGCAAAAATATAGTTAAAAAAAAATAAAAACACGCTTTTAAAGCACATTGAACTAAAAAGTTCAAAATAATTTTTAGTTCGAGTGCTTTAAACGCGTGTTTTTTTAGTTTTTTAAACTATATTTATTTTTTACTTTTTAGTTTCATGTTATGATAGTAGTTACTATCAATATAATGGTTGTAACGGGAACGGGAAATCAGGGTTCGATTTCGGAGAGGGAGTCTGAGAAACGGCTACCATATCCAAGGAAAGCAGCAGGCGCGCAAATTACTCACTCCCGGAACGTGGAGGTAGAATGAAAAATGACGATACGGAAATCATCCCTCGTAATCGGAATGAATACTTTATATCTCTCAATTAGAGTAAAGCGTGTTAATATATAAATTTTAATAGTAATTAGAATATATTTTCAACACGTGGTGCGTAGAGAGTTACAAACATACTTGCAAATATACATACATACATACAGGTGAAACTAATAAACGCATGTTAAAATAAATATAGTTTAAAAAACACGCTTTTAAAGCACATCGAACTAAAAAGTTAAAAACAATTTTTAAAATAAGCTTAAAATAATTATGAACAAAAAATACTGGTATTAATGTGATAAAAGCGTTGGGCGCTCATATAAAATTTAATTTAAGTTTATATTCACTATAATGCGAGTAAACCTAGTAAACTATAATACGTACATGCACTCAGTACATATATATAGTAAGGAGTATTCTATACATTATAAATATATTTAAAGTCAATTTGAAATTTTTAAAACGCCGTTTAATTACGCCAAGTAGTTTATTATTCATGTTACACATTTTTGTAAAACTTGCAGTTTTATCCTATGAAATTTAATGTATGTAAAGATTATTAATTATGCGCTGAACAATTTAGAATTTCTTATCACACATATGAGTCTAAAAAATCAAAAAATTATCTTGAGTAATACCCTACACTATAGGGTATTACTCAAGATAATTTTTTGTCCTAGACCCCTATATATTTATGTATTTATAGATGAGCATTGATACAGTAGCGCGATAACGATAATATGTTCTACTATTTATATGCGTAGCTAATATATTTTACAGCTCGGTATTTCACCGAATTGTTCGTTCAACAACCGTATCAAACGATAAAGATATACAATTCAACAAATTTTAGCAAGTAGAAAAATATAATAATATTTTTCTACTTGCTAAAAGTTATTATAAAAGTTAACTAAATACAATTTTCGACCAATTAACCAAAGTATCGATAAATCTAAATGACATTGAAGTTGTACGCAAATGATAACAGATATTATAATTTTTAACAAAAATTAATCATTTTACAATTTTGCGCTCGGGGCGCAGGTACCGCTGTCCCCCCTTGCTATGGTCCGAATTTGTGACATAAATAATTCATTTNTGCTGTCCCCACTTGCTATGGTCCGAATTTGTGACATATAAATAATTCATTTTTTATCGTTATAATGGATTATAATGGTTTGTCAATGAAGGATTAGGCTAAAATAATTATAATTTTTTTATAAGTTAATAATAAATTTATATATAATGAGTCTAGCTCAGTCCAAATAAAAGTTCTATATTTAATTGTAGAAATTTACTGTGAATTTTATTAACTTAAATTAAAATTTATTGTGTATACATTTGGAAAGTAAAAACTCAATTTTTTATTGAGATTGTATTAAAAATGTGTCAAAGCTTTTATTTTATAACATAAAATATTATGATTTTTATTATGATATATAATATAGAATATTATGATATTGAAGATTATTAAACTATATTAAAATACATGGCTAAGCATAAACGAGTTTATAAGCTAAATTTTTTAACTTGACGTAGTTATTTTTGATTTTATGTTAACTTGATTTTAACTTCATTTATATTTCGTTCATTTAGCGACTAATTTGCCCATAATACCTCTTCAAAATAAAATTCTAAATACTTTAAAATATTATTTTTATACAAATTAGTTCAAAAATATTTGTCTTATTTAACGAATAATATGTAACATCCTTTTTATAGTATATTTATATCATAAAATGATATAAATTCTGAGTTTTGAAATTTTTGGAAATTTTGTTCTAAAATCAGTTTAGGAAATTTTATAAGCTTTTATTTGGTGTATAAATATTACTGGACTCGTCTAGGAACTTTGTTAAAAGTAAAAAAACCGAACGGCAGTCGGAAAATATGTATTGATTACGACCTTATATATGTTACAGCAATTTCTGTTATACGAGTTACTTGGACACTCAAGTACCCTTTGAGATCTATGTCATTCGATAGGAAATGTTATAAGCTTCTCATTGATATATAATTATTAAGTGAACACGCCTCGGAACTTTTTCAAAAGTACAAAAAAGCACCGCCAGTTTGAGAATGCATATTGTTTACTATCGCAAATTTTGACTAGCAATTTCTCTAATACGGGTTACATGGACACTCGAGTACCATTTTTGATTAATGTCTTTGGATAGGAAATTTTATAAGCTTTTATTTGGTGTATAAATATTGCCTGGACTCGTCTCGGAACTTATTGTCAAAAGCATGACAAAATAGATAGGTATGTCAGCAACTTTGTAATACGCAACCCACTCCTCACCCCATCTATAGTTGGTTCGCCTCATTTCATTGGCCGAATATTTGTATAGTCATTTTCCATAAATATAGTGATATTATTATCATTTATGCGTTAATACTTAATATTGTGCAAAAATAATTTGTAGCGTATAGAGGAATAATGAAAAATTATGTATGTAATATACTTAATATTTAGAAGTGCTTTCATTGCATTAAATCATATATAATTTGCTTCACATTAATGTAACTTTTTTTTTTATAAAGCCAAGAGGTTGGTTTGTCAGCACAGTATCCTAAGGTGAACTGGCCTAATGTTATTTGGTAATTTAATTTTACTTATTGCATACATTTATTTATTAAGTAAATTTTTGTTTTTTAAATTTTTGACAAATTAACTGATTATTTAAATTATTTAGCCTTATATAAGTTCTTGTTCTAACTAAACATTCTACCACTTCTTTGGGTATATTATACTCTCCATTATTTAACATTAATTTGTTTGTTAACGTTGTAAAAATTTTAGGAGCTTTTGACAGATTGTCACCATGCAGACTTCTGAAATATATTTCTAATTGCTTCATTGCTCGCATTAGGTTGTCTGATGGGATTTTTAATTGGCCTCTTGATATTTGATTAGTCCAACACTTTTTTTCTTCTGCATCTAAATTTATCAAATCTGGATATTTATTTGAGAACCGATTAGCTACATAACCTGCTACAAATTCTACACATTCTCCTTCTATTTCATCAAATGGTTCTTCAATGTCCAACTAAAAAAAAATGTAAGTATTTGTTGTTTATGGTTCATTAAATACTTTTAGCTTATATATACTTCAAATTGTTCTAGCAAGTTAAAATTTGATTTTGGAATATCTGCTTCCTTTACACAAATACTGCGGTTTTCTGAATCAACAATATCTTTGGACAATTCTGAACTATTGAATAATTCTGATGTGATACATCACATTCTGAATCATTCAACAGACTATCTTCATAACCATCTTCTGTATTGGTATTTTCAGTAAATACTAAGTGAGAATGCTTACCTAATATGTACCACCTTAAACTAGAAAATGTATTGAATTATAAGTGATACCTTGTAATCTTACTCAACATAAAAACAAATAAATTCTAACCAGTATTTAAAATCCAATGCAGTTATATTGTTGCTTGCACTTCCTGCCATTCCTTTTAGGAAACTAAATAAATTTTCTAATATATCTTGATTAAGTTTTCTAGTCATGATATATTCAAGACCGTATAAGTTTCTTACATCTAATAGTAAATTTTTTAAGGATGAATTGGTAACCAAAATTCCTACAAAGTAGTTTGTATTAATATAGTGTGAAAATAATATCTGTATATTTTTATTGTCTAAAATTTGAATAAACAATTTTAAAATGACTTAAGTATTTTACCCTTTTGAAAAGGTAGTAAAGTTGTCTTTTTAAAAACTCTCATTGATTTGATAAAACTATTCATTTTATTAAGTAAATCATTTTGATATGTTTCGTCTAAGCCATAACTTTTTACTCCTTTATCAAATTTATGTTGAGTATTTAGTAGGTCAAACCAGTCATTCATAAGTAAAACAATTTCTGAAGCCTGTTTTAGAACAATAATTTTTAGCCATGCATACATTTATATAGAAATCCAAAATGTAAAAAATTCTGAATAAATATTTAATTTACTTCTTTCCAGTTATATTTTTCAAATAATTTTTTTTCTCCGCCATATTCAATAGCTTTAGATACTGAATTAGATAATAACTGTGCTGCTAATTTAACCTTCATTCGGCCTGTCCCTTCAACTAATAAATGTTTATTGTTCAATTTATGAGCCAATTTAAAATCGTGTCTAGAGTTCAACATAACTAATTCTTCAAAAATATTTTTCCCTATAAATTTTCCATTGGAAAGTACAAAACCTCTAAAATAATTATTTAATAAGTATTATTATAGAGATTATTTTAGAAACAAATTAGATACTTGTCAATTAAATGATTTCTTGCTAATTTTAAAAGATGTGGGACATCTGCGAAAACATGGATGTTTTGGTTTGAGATAGGATGTTTCAAAGAAGTGTTATCTATGGATATATCTAAAGTTTTCCAGAATCCCATATTTGATGAACCCATATCATTTATTATCGCTTTGACATTAAATCCAGAAAAATGCAGTTGTTGAATAATTTGGTATAACAAATCTTTAGTCATTGGAGTATCGTAACCATACATAATTGGTTGTTTCCAATTACCTACTAACCCTATACATTGGATAATTTGATTAAATTAAGTATAGGAGTACACTTATTATATAAGCATTATGTTATCATATTTATTTTATGTACCTCGAGCTATAACTGTTTGGACACACTTATGGGGTCCAATAACCCGTTCATTTTTTTTGTCAAAACAAATTCTACTTGAAATATAGGTTTCATCAAAACAAATTACAGTTAATTTGTCAGTTATGCTCATAAGTTCTCCTTTATTAAAAGTTAAATATATTCTTAAATAAGTCATTATTAAAAATACATTTTTATAAATATTACATTCGTAAAGATACCTTTAGATTTCATCAATGATAAAACACTAGTCAATATTCCTTCATCAACTGAAAATTTTAGTGCCCAAGTTCGTAAAGTAGATAAACCTCAAAATAAATATATTTAATACACATAATTTTCCTTATTTATTTAGCCAAATTATTTATTATTTACTTGGAAGTGGAAAATTCTTTTTTTCCCTTAGATATCGATAAGATTTAGGTGATATACTCCTTAGAGTAATTGCTGAAGAAATGTCTTCTGGAGTCCAACGGTAAACTTTCTTTTTAGGATGAAGAATAAGTTGAATCTGAGTTGGTGTAAAGAATTGTGATAAAATATCACTACAGCGATTTTCAAAACGATGATCTTCCAAATCAATGAAATTATTATAACATTTAAGTTTATTCATTACAGCAGTATAATTTGTTTTTAAAACGTTATTTTCATCCAAAATTTTTAAATATTTATTTTCATAATCCTCACACTTTTTTTGTAATCTAATTATTTAAAATATAAAATTTTTTAGTATAATTATAGTATTACTATTAATTGAGTAGAATATAAATATACAGTGCCGGATAAACCGTTGGTGCAATGCACCACTTATACCAGAGCCCAGACTCTTTGAAAATGTATATTTTGTTTTTTCAAATGGTGTATTGAATTTTACTTTGAAAGTTTATTTAATTTATTCCCAATGATGGTGAATGGTAATTGTAAATGTTTGATCGATATTCAATTGTTTAGTATTTATCTTTCAAGTATATCAATTTTAAGTATAGAAAAGAAAAAAACTAAAACTCTAAATATTGAAATGATAATGAACAATTTTACCAATGCAAAGTCAAGGGAAAAAAATTTCTTAAAATAGAACATCTAAACATTTTACTTTTTACTATTATATTGAAAACTTTCTTTATTCTGTAGATTATAATATACTATTAATTTTATTATACTTAGTACTCCATTATTTTGTAACTATAGACTTATCATAGTTGTATACTTGTGATTTTTTTTATAACATTTTGAAATTAGGAGGCCCTAAATTTTTTTTCGCACCGGGGCCCTTAGAGTTCAACATCCGGCACTGTAAATATATTATAAATGTGTGTATTACTCTTGGAATAATATATTATTTTCTACTTCACTCTTCAAACTCTCTTCGAGAGGTTTAACTTCAAGGTCTTGAAAAAGGTTAACTTTGTATTTTTCTGTACACTTAACAACAGGGACACATGATTTTTCTCTAAAAAGTTAATTTTGTAATATAAAAAATTGCACTTCATTGATGAATGATTTAAAAATAAATGATATTTAAATGTAATAGTTACACAGAGAATTTTCCAGCTGAAGTAATTACTACAGATTCATTACATGAATGTTTTTTTGGAGGAGTAATGTACTCTTTAAGAGGAAAAACGTGATTCTTGCTATGTGAACTTATAAATATAATTTATTATTTAGAGTAATTTAATTTATAATTGAGTAGGTAAAATATATGCTGTATTTGTGTAATTTAGAAATAATATTTGATGAATATACTATTTTTTTAAACTTACTTTAAAGGTAAAGGAATAGCATTTCGTTTTAAAACTTTCCTATCCTTATTATTAGAATGAATTGCATAATTATCATTTGTAAAATGCAATGAACAAACAACAGCTAAATGAAATTAAACAAGCTCATAATAAACAGCTAAATATAAATATAACGATGAAATAATAGTGTAATTTATTTAGGATTCTGAAAAAAATATGACAATGTTAATTAACAGTTACTTGTTTTTACCAGAATCAAAATTTATTGGTTTTTTAGTTATTTGGCCTAATTTTATTTGTTTTTCCCAGAATTTTCTTAAGACTGGATCTTTTGGAAATCGATGCAAGGTTATTTTTTTATTTTTTACCAATGATTTTTTTTTACTACCACTAGTACAACCAAAAAACTCACAAACAGGCATTTTGTCATAAAAAATATAAATTTAAGTAAAAGTATGTAAGTATATCAAGTTTTCAAAATATTTTAAGACACTTAAAATAAACGCTGTTCTTTTTATTTAATATACCCGGCATAATCATTTCATATCAAATAATTTGCAAATTGATCATATTTGTTTATATTGTAGTATAAATAGATATCACAATAGATTGATATTAATCAATAATAGTAAAAGGTAAAGGTATCATAAAAAACAATACAAAATATTAAAGTTGCTGTCAAGTATTTGTTTTAAAGAAATGTATTTTGGCGGTCAAACCTACGGCCAATGAAATGAGGCGAACCACTTCTATGGGTGTGAAGGGCGGGATGCGTTAAACGGTCCAAAACTCGTTTGTTGCTGACATACCTATATATTTTGTCATGGTCAAAAGTAAAATATAATATAACATTTTTTTTAACCAACTGGCGCCCTCTAGCGGTGTATATTATAATTATATCTGATTAGAAGTTGCTATAAAGGAATTGCTATCTTCACAGTCGTAAATTTTTGACTATTTGTTTTATTAATTAGAGAACAGGGATAATAATTGATTTCAATATTATATAATTTTAACTTGAAATTTTTAAGATACTTAGACAAGTTTTCATAAATGTGTTTTTCAAGTAAATTTTCTGTATAAAATTTTCGTGCTAATATGCATAGTTATATAATTTTATTTTAAAAATTCATCAATTATGAAGTATATAATTGAATTTGCAGATTAAATCTTTATTACAATTAAGTACGTTGGGTTCTACTCATGCGTTATATAGCTCATTTTTTAATTATCTAATTAATAATAATGCATTTTTAAATCCAGCTAAACAAATTTTAACATAATAAATCCTTTTATTCTTTTGGGTGGTATTTTTTTCTCGAACTAAAAATTAATAATAGATAATTTCGAAAAATAATTTATTGTGATTACTGTAATGGTCGGTAATGTTTGTTATTGTGATAAATACAATTATTATTAAATACAAATAAAAACGAGTTTTTTGGGTAAGAGAGAACTTAAAGTTTTGAATTTTTTCACATATTGAAATATGAAAATTTGTTTTTAAAATAACATTCAAAACCATACAGTTTGACTGGATTTCTTTAATGTTATTAAAAATAAATTTGATTTTCCTACATCATTAATATTTTAGCTTTGATACCAAGCTAACAAAATATTAATCTGGCTGTTATTTTTTTAAACTATCTATCTTTACTTTTTCTCAGCGTCTATTGGATCCTGATAAAAGTTATGCTAATAGATTACAAATTGCATCTAGTTGATGTTCTCTAAAAAAAAAAATGAGAAAATTTAAGTATTTTTAATATTAGTGATCACTCTTTAAGTTTTTCATATTTCTAGGTGATTAAAGGACACAGTTCTTCTCACCTTTAGAATATTTTTTTTGTCTAAATATTACTTTTGCAAATAATTTGATTTATTTATTCAAATTATAGTTAGTTGTGTGAGAATGTTCAAACTTTATTTTAAAACATTTATGTTAAGGTATTTTATAAAAGTGATTTGAATCCCTTTCAAATTTTCATAATACTGGATCCCAATTGTATTGGGTTTTTTAATTTTATAGCTACAAAATATTAACAACATTTAATTATTGATATTTATACATTTATATTATAGAAATGCAGTCATTTCATTGTATTGGTTAATAAATAATCTAAAATAACTTTTTGGAAGTTATTATTTAAAATTTTAATATTTAACTTAAGTATTGTAGTTATAAAGTGTATTATATATTTATTTTTACGTTATCACTTGTGATAATAAAGGTTTTACTTTCAGTGCAAAATCATTTATGAGAAGTTATAATGTAACAATAATAATACTAGATACAAAAATTTTGGTATCTAAGATTTTAGACCTAATTCTATATATATTTTGTGAGCCGATACAAAATAATCAGTTGAATTTTTTATACGAGCTCTATTTTATAAGACACATTTTTACAAAAAAGATTTTATTATGTATTAAGAAATTGTCTTTTGAGTAATTTTCTTGAGTATACTTGTCTTGTCAGAAAAGAAGTAATAATATTATATTCTTTAGGTAATATTTTGCAGTACATTCATTAAAAATGGGTCTATTGACAGATCCATCAGTTGGTCATGGAGCTCTAACTAGTATTTTTGTACGACATCACAATCGGTTTTGTATAGTTATGTACATTGGATCTTTAATATTATTTTGTGTTTTAGCACACAATAGTTTTAATTCACGTAAGTCAAAATTATTTTTATTTAATAGAATTTATTAATAATTTGCAATTAATGAAATGTTTTTTTTTTTCAAATTTAGAAACATATTTTTCTGAAAATGCCCTTCTTCCTGGATTGGTTAAAGGCCAAATGAATGATAACACAGGAACATCTTTTAGAGAACATTATCGAGAACTAAAGTCAGAAGCCTATGATTATGACAATGAAATGCCTCATTCTTATTTGCTTACAAAATTAAAAAAATTACGTTTGGAAACTTACTCACATAATTTTACATTGAATTACCCATTAAAGAAAAGCATTGTAAGAAATTTGTTAATTTTTAAAAATATATTTAAATAATCACATTAAATAAATATTAGGTTCAGATTAATAGTTTTAGTCAAAACAAATATATATTCATAAAATGGTTTTACTTAAAGACTATTAAAGTTATGATTCTTTATGACTCTTTAAGATTAAGTATAATTTGTGATATCATCACAAATTATAAGTAAATCATTAAAGTCGACTATTTTTTTTCAGTTATCTTATTATATTACTTATTATTAAATAATAAGTGAAGATAAAAATCTATGTTGCTTTTAAAGTTAAAAATGTATATTCATAATAGGTGCACCAATTAATCCATTAGGGTTTAAAGTTTTTTAAGTTGTTATATAATTAAGTCTTAATTCAAAAAATATTTAATTATTATAAGTTAAAATATAATAGTGCAAAAACCACTCGAATAAAAAGTTTCAACAAATTATAAGAGGGTATTTAAAGTTAATAATCTTAAATGATGAGATTTTAGTTTGCCATAAGTCTGAAAAATCAAAAAAAGTCAGGTAATTTCAAAATTGTAAGAAAAGTTATTAAAATGTTATGGAATTTGATGATTTTGTCTGAAATTCTTGAAAATTGATTGAACCCAACATATATATGTAGAGTGTCCTACCGTAATATACTAATGTGACTTTATAAACTTAAGTTAAAATTAATAAATTACAGTAGGACACCATGTCTATAGACTGTTAACTGAGTTAATTTTCAAAAAATTTTAGGGACTAAGCCTTCTCTAGTTTTTTAGTAAGAAATATAGCTATATCACTGCCTAATAACTAAAAGTTATTAGTTACAAAGGTATGAAGGGCATATTCAAGTATTTCAGTGTTAATAATAAATAATCTATTTTGAAATACTAGAGAAATGAAAAATTAAGTGAAACCTGTTGTGTCATCAGTAGCTGCATGAGTCACCTTATAATCATAAATACTAACTATAAAAAAATTTAATGTTAGGTTTGTTAATAATGTGTTGAAGATTATAATTGATTAATGAATAATTTATTTAGTTTCAATGCATCTCAGTAAGAGAAAATTAATATTTCAATTTTTTTTTATGTTAGTAATTATGTTCTAATTTACATAATTTTAAATCATTCCATACCAAATTTTTACAGGGGTGAATTGATATATTGAGACAAATTTATATATATATATATATATATATATGTGTGTGTGTGTGTGTGTGTGTGTGTGTGTAAGAATTGACAGGCAACAGGGACAGAACAAAAACACAATACTATTATTTATAATGTATATTATTATTCACACACAAAAGCCATGTTAAATATTCTCAAACCATATCATGTATAAACTAAACACACATATGAATTAAAACGCACACAATGAAAAAAACACGTCTTAGCCCACTCACGACTTAATGTAAGTTTCCCTAATGTTAATATTAGATGATATCGCTATCTGCTTCCAGACTCTGGAAGTGTTGCCATCTAGACATCAATAGTATCCAGATATATAAATGATATTTAAATAAAATTTTTAGAAACTAGAGAGTTTTAAACTTTGGGTTTTTCTAGAATTTTGATCAAAAAAACATGTTTTTTCTATATTTAAGTTAATATAAAATAAAAAATATGTGTTATTTAAAAAACAAAATCTGATAAGACAATTCTAAAGTAATTTTTAGAATCAGTGACTCTGAAATACTTGGACATGAAACCCTTCTACACCTGTAACTAATAAATATTTTTAGGGAGTAGTATTACTAAAAGAAAATCAATATTAAAATATTGTTGTTAAAAATAAATTAACTTATTATTTGCAGAAATATGTTGGACGTAACATTTATGGTATTTTAAGGGCTCCTAGAGGAGCCAGTACTGAATCAATAGTTTTAAGTGTACCATATAGATCTCCAATTAGCATTTTACCCAGTACATTACCTGGACTTGCAATTATGTTTCAACTAGCACAATTTTTTCGTCGTAAGTTGATCATCTATCCATAGTATTATTCAAATTAGTGTGAACAAAATATATTTATAGATATTCAGAAACAATAATTTTTTTGTAGATTACCATTTTATTTTTGGCATTTAAAATAAATCTTCAAGAATTTATATATTCATATAAATAAATCACATAAACTCATTACCACGTATAATTACCATATAGCATAACCAATGTCTTTTCTACTTGAATGTGTTAAAGCTTTCATAAATAATTGTGTTATTTAAAATATTTATAGATATATCCAAGTCTTAAATTCTATGCTGACTATACTTTTCGACAGTGTAGTTATAACCTCAGGTTTATAACTATCATAGCAAAGATTAACTCTTAAAAGTTTGGAATATTAGCATAAAACTGAATATATTAATATATTTATAAAAATACTAAATAATTGTTTTAACTAATTATTATTTTAGTTTTGTTGCAAAGTTGAGGAGGCATTAATTTTATTTATTATGTGTTTAGTTTTTAAAAAAATGTTTATGTCTGTTGCCACTTATTCTCAAATTAAAATGAATATACATATAATACATATTAATGACTAATATGTCAAAAAAACACAAATTGTATCTAGTGAAGTCATTATCCTCTAAAATCAAAAGAATTTCCCTAATTACTTGTAAATGGGGGAAATTTCTAAAAAAATTACAATTTTAAAAATTGATAAATTTTGACATATTTCAAAAAATTTTTCTTTAAACTGCCTTAAATTTTTAAAAAATAGATGAATAAAAAAAATTTTTTTTATAGATATCTTAGGTATTTTCATAGCATTTGGTATATATTTTTTGAAAATCTGACTCTTTACCTGTTCACAGGGAAGATTTAAAATGACAACTTCTACACAAAAAAATGAACTTTTTCAACTTAACTTTTGAAAATGTGTCTATGAATATTAATACTTATATATATATTTAATGATTTAATAATCTGTCTAGTTTTCATTATAAATTGAGAACTAAAAATCCCAATGTCGACTATTTTATAACAATTGTTTTGTAAATTTTCCTTTATTTTGAGAATTTAGGGGAATATTTTTAAAATTTTAAATTAAACAGAACTAGAACTTAAATTTTGTTATGTTAAAAAAATCTGCATTTGTTGATGTAATCATTTTCTTTTTACTACAATTACTTTTGGATCATTTTGAAAAACATGTATTTGCTCTGATAAACCCTGTACAATGAAAATTAACAAGAGATGTAAGAATAACTGACAAAAACTGTGTAATAAAAGAAAAAACTTACCTATGGCAAGCAATTCAAAATAATGGATATTAAATTATAAACGTAAATAAAGAATTATGAAAAACCAAAAATAGAAAAACTATGGTAAGCAACAAGGAAGATAACAAGTAAGGACCATTAATATGGCCATGTATACAAGGAATTATGAACTGTATCTCAAAAATCACTAATAAATTCAAAATAAGAATATTGTTCAAATACAGTCATTGGAATATTATTCTGAAATTAAAAGGGAGAATTAATGGAAATGCAAACACCTGGTATCTATGAAAAACCGGTGATCATGTGGGAATTCATAAGTTGGACAAACAGAAAGAGTAATTTTTACAAGAATTTGCAGTAGAAAATATGCCAAAAACAGTGTACACGAAATACAAAATGATAAAATCGAAACTTTAAATAAAGAAGCTCATGATGGAAAACAAATGTACAAGAAAGCAATAGAAATTTTAAAATGTCTAGAAAATTATAACAGAGAGATAGGTAGAAAATTAGCATGACTTGGTGACCAATTATTAACTGAGAAAAAAAAGAAAATAACATAATATGAGAAATAGTCATATTTAACATATCAAAAAATTTTTAACGTAGAAAAGGAATAGTAAAATATCAAGAATTTCAAAAACTAAACACAAACAAAAACAATAATAATATTATAATAACAAGTACACATTTTCTGTCAATAATTATCGGTAAAAAATGTGCACACAAAAAATATAAACTTTGCACTTCACATGAAATTTTTCTTATATTTTTTAATCTTCGGATAAATAGCAAATTTCTTATTTCAAGCTTCCATTCACAATATATTATTAATATTAAAAATAGTATTCAAGCAAATATAAATCTTCTTTGGAAATATGTTAATTCCCTTTGAAAATCAAATAGTAATGTGCCCGATTGTGTTACATGTGACAACATCTTATATACTAATATTTCTGTAACTGTCCAACTATTTGCTAATTATTTTTCTAGTGTTTATGTTGCTGATTTGATGAATCATAACATGTAGTCCTAATTTTAAATGTTGCTTCAATGAATAATAATAATCTTAATCTTAGTTCTTGAACTATTAATCATATGAAATTTTTGATTTAATTTAATAGATAGCTTGGATACGTATGCAGGTACCTGATGGTGTTCCATCAGTGTTTTTAAAATTGTGTAGATCAGTACTAATAAAATCGTTACATCTAATTTTAAATAAGTATAAGTCTAGGCTATTTCCCTGATATTTGGAAAAAAAATATTATTAATAAATGTGTTTGCTGATGACGCTAAACTTATTTCTAGTATTAAATCAGGTCGACTTAATTGTTTACCTATTAATATAGATTAATGTATTATTATAACTTTTACTCGTTGAAATTATAAGATTAATTATAAAATTGATGATGATGTTATAAAAAGAGATTACTATTGATTCCAAAATGTCTTTTTCATTAATCATGGATATATGATAAGAAAAGCTTTTTAAATGTTGGGTTTCATTAATAGGAATATGACAGAGTTTAATAATATCAATGTATTTAATTTTTTTTTATTTTCATTAGCTAAATCTCATCTTGAATTTGTTTCATTTGTATGATCACCGAATTATTTTTTATACAGTCTTTTAATTGAAAATGTTTAAATCAAATTCTTTAAGCTGTTAAGTTATAAATTAAATATACCCTATAACTTGTAGTTATCCCATTTTGGATTCATGTCTTGTAAATTAAGGAGATATGTTACAGCTATTATGTCTATATTTGATTTATTAAATGGTTTTATCAATATCACTGAACTGTTTTAACTGAATAATTGGTTTTACGATACCAAATCAAGTTTAAGAAAATTCAATTTGTTTCATGTTTCATTTTATAAAAAAACAACTAAAGCTCTGCATCTTTAATCAAATAATAAAATAATCCTAAATACATTAATAGTTTGTTTTAATATCGTTAGTTTTACATTTTGGACTAAATATTTTTCATAAATAAACTATCTACTATTCCCATGATTAACTCAGTCAAGTACTTAAGTGTTTATCATGGGAAATACACAACAAATTAATACCACCACTGTAGTCTCCCTTTGTGAAAAGGAATTTCTTATTCATATTAAAATATTATACTATATGGTTTTTTTGTGTCTGTTATTCATTTTTCTCAGCTCTCACTTGACCAATTTTTTTAAACAATACGTAAAATAATCACAATTATTATTGCTTAGTTAAAGATATATAACCCTCTTTTCTTTTGGAATAATCCACCAATTTCTTAAAACTAAACACTAACTACAGATTTGCACCGAAGTGTTTCTTATGATGATGATTTGAATCACTGTCAGATATCATCTATACTTGTGCCAACTATACCACGACCACACTGTGCTACTTTTTGGTTACTTTTATTTACAAATTATTCTTGAATTCTTAAGTATACATACTGTTCATTTTTATTTCTTAAAAAGGTCTCAACTTTGTTTTTTCTCTTTGATATTTGACACTATTACATAAAACACTACATTCTTTAAACATACATTAAATTAAAGCTAATACAATGTAATATAAGATGAAAAAACCCAGCACAGTGTAGACAAGGCATAGATGGGACAAGTATAGATGATATTTGACAGTGATTAAAATCACTATCATAAGAAACGCTTCGATGCAAATCTGTAGATAGTGTTTAATTTAGAGAAATTGGTGGATTATTCCAAAAGCAACATCAACTCTTATTTCTTTGATTATATCCTAATTAGTAGTTCTTTGATTTTAAAATATAATATATGAATAAATACTAATTATAATTATTAAATTTAGTATGAAATTGATATTCAATAATTTAATATTGTA